TGTTGAGTTTTATAGAAGATCCTACTGTAATCATAATGTAAAGGAAAACATGCTGAGTAATTTGCTAAAAAAGCTTGAAACTAGATTTTTATCAAACACTACTCAAACGAGGAAAAAGTGCATGTGTTAGGAACTACTTTCATATGTGGATTAATACACATTTGGTGCTCTGGTGAGTATTTGGAGCAGCAGCATGATGTATGTCGAGTCAAAATGAACTTCACAGTGTGCAACAGTGTTTACAGTCTATATGATACCTACCATCCTTTAAACAATGTAATAAATAGGGGTGACTTCAGCAATTTACTGCTGCACTTTCACAGACACCCAGATCACTGTATAAATAAGAGTGGTCTGAGTAGAAGCAGCAGATGCTGAGATATTCTGATTTTTAATTCCTAAATTTCCAAAAACACTTGACTCTACACCTCCTTGATCACGTTTCATTAGATCCTTTCATGCTCGTGTCAGTCAGACTGCAGACCTACAATTTGTAAGATAATTAGTGTTATTTCTTTAAACTTCTGAAGGCTCCCACAGATCCACGGAGGAGTTCAGTGTACAAATTGGTAGAATGCCCCTTTACTGTGGATTTTCTTCCTGATTTGATATCTGGATTATCATCGAGATTATGCGCAGTATGTTGGACAATAAGGCTGGATATTCACTAATCTGGGCAAATTCATTACAAGTTAGCTGGCAGCGCAGAATCTGGCAAGACAGAGGAGCGATATAGATGCAGACAGAGCGAGGATGCCAGCAAGAGCTGCTTCTGCCTAATGTGGGGATTTCCTCAGCTGCTCTGCTAAATGAAATAATCTAAAGAAACAATGTCAGGACCACAGAAGCGCAATTACTCCATGGCTGATTCAAGCAGCTCATATGAGACGACCTTTATGATGCAGACGGTATACAGAGCACAGCTTGTACTGACGGACTGAATGTTTTTAATGGAATAAATTTGAATATAAGACGAGGAATGCGTATTTTTTTTTCTTTTCTTTTTTTTTTTTCTAAATTCCTGGAAGGAGGAATGAGGGTAGAAGACGAGACGACATGCTGAGTTAGTGGTTCAGTGTGTGTATTGTGTGTATTGTGTAACGTTGTGTGTATGTGGTGTGGGGCGGCTGGTGGATTTCACGTCCCACTTCCTCTAGCAAGGCGATTAGGCCAGACGTCTGTCACACACACACACACACACACACACACACACACACACACACACACACACACACACACACACACACACACACA